CGTGGCTCTCGCTGGCCCCGGGGCCCTGGGCTTTGCTCCTGCCTCCCATCACGTCAAGCTGTTGAGCAAGGATCAGGGAAGCACCAGCTGCTTCACTGTGGGGCTTGTCCACACAGCTTCTTCCTTGTCCAGGAGCAGACTGAAGGGGTCTGCTAAGCGTTTCCAGAGCTGGCGATCCCTGGGGCTGGAGAGCAGGAGAGCTGAGATTTTCCAGGCTGGCAGGAACGTGCGCGGGGAGGTGTAATCCTGGCTCACATGTGCCTGTGGCATCTCGACCTCCTGCTGCCTGCAACGGAGGCTGTTGGCAAGCCCGGCTCCCTGGGGTAGGGGGGCTAGGAGTGGTGGAGCAGCAGGCACCGCAGGGCTCAGCCTTGCTTTGCATAAAAGCCGAGGCAGGCTCAGCTGCGCTGGGCTCCAGGTGAGCAGATGCATTCGCTGCAGGATGAATTATTCCCTGGCTGTGATGTGAGCTCTTGGCAGGATGCTGTGTGCTATTAAGCACCCTCTGCTTCCCCAGCATCCTTGCAAATCACTTGGAAAATGCTTCAGGACCCCAACGGCCAGGAATTCTTGCTCCCCCTGTCCTGAACTCCCCTCTTTGCCGAGTCACGTCGAGTAATTGGGTAATTTTACCAGAAGCCTCTCATGTCCTGGCTGAAAACCATAGTGAGGAGAAAGGGGGTCGCTGGGAGGCTGGGAAGAGGCAGACATTTCCTGTAAGAGCCCAGCACTGCCTGGCACTGTCCGTGCAGAGAAAGGAGGGTCACCCTGGCAGCTGGCCCCTCTCGCCCTGCAGCAGGGTACTGACTGCAGACGGACGACTGGGGAAACTGAGGCACAGCTCAGCCTTCCTCCCCTGCCCCTGGGGTGCTTGAGCCCCACTGCAGAGCTGGGGCACCTGAGGCTGGCTGGAGAGGCTGCCCAGCTGCTGAGCTGCCCCGGGGCAGGAGCGGCAGGGCACAGGAGGCCACTCAGCCCATGGTGTAAGATTGAGAGCGCCCAGCAGCTACCGCCCCTCTCCAGGACTTGCCTGGGAACCTCACACGTGAACCGATCGGGCTGGTCTCAGCCTACCATAATGCTGAGACCCTTCCCCTGGAGTCCTTCTGCAAGGAGGGAGGAGCGTGATGCTGCTGGGTTGCTCCATCTCGGGAGCACCGGGATGGCGGTGGCTGATGGCCTGCTGAAACTGGAGCCCCCCAGGCGCTGGGAAGGAGCCCAGGACGCCTTTGTCAGCACGGCTGCAACACCCTGGCGGTAATGAGCTGCCGGTCTGGGGACAATGGCCATCATCTGTCTGACAGCAGGGAGCTGGCAGGACAGACGGACGCTGCAGACGCACGGCAGGCTGCGGCTGGGCGCA